TTTTTTAGGCGTGGCTGTGGGAGCAGGCCTTCAGACGAAAGTCACAGTTATCAATTTAGTTTGCTTTTATATGGTCGGGCTCCCGGTTGGAATTACGCTTGGATATGTTGTGCATCTTCAAGTTGTGGTAAATGAATGCATTTTTCAGAGTGACAACTACTTAACTCAAAGCACAATTCGGAGTTTCATTCGTTTCCATTTCATATTTTTGTCGTTTATGAGCAAAATCGATTTGAAAAAACGTGCGTCTTTATAATCAAAATGAGCTGAATTCGGAAAAGGATGATTAGAGTAAAGAGTGGATATTTGTGTTCACAGGGCATATGGATTGGTCTGACCTTGGGCATAGTGATTCAGACTATCTTACTCGCCTTCCTGACATGGAGAACAGACTGGGATGAAGAGGTAAAATAGCAAAAAAAAAAAAATACGAAAAATTCGCATGAGGATTACTAATTGACCTGTTGATCGATCATTCGAACATTTTGTTATCTATGCTTTTATGTTTACAAACAGGTCTTGAAAACTTCGGCACGTCTCAAAAGATGGGACCTGAAATCCAAGCAGAAGAATACTTCTAATGATGCTTGAAACAAAAATGAAAATCAACTCGTCTGAGAATTATCTCAGCTTCAGATCGATATTTCTTATGTATTAATATTGGTAATTCTTAAAGCACTTTGGTATATCTACCCAAGAGCTTGGAATGAGTACTAAGCTTGTGGTGTGGAAAACTAGCTTGGATTGTGTTATGCAAATTACATACCTTGAAGATTTTCTTACATTATGCTAATGTGAAGTTGCTACCTCTATCTTTCTTGTATGTGTTCGAAAAAAATCTAAGCCCGATGGCTCGAATTGAGCCGTTGATACCGAGCTTGGCCTACCAACGAAGGAGTCGGGAGGACACAATTCAAGAGTAAAAACCTTCGAAACTCCGGCAAACCAATGACCAAAACCACCTAACTTTAGCTTTGCCTAACAAACTCAAAAAAAATTGCAATTTCGTCCACTAACTTAAGTTGTTTCTCATTTTTGTCCAATAATTTATTAGGGTTCGAAATCGGTCTAATAACTCTTCAATTTTTAGCCAATTTGGTCCAGTTTCAATCCCGAACGTCGAAATCCGACAGTTATTCGGTCTGAAATTGGTCCAATAAATCTTAAATTTTCGAGTCATTGGACCAATTTCGACCAAATTGACTACAGTAGTAAAGTTATTGAACCAATTTTGGAACCAATGAGTTATACGGCAAAAATGAGAAACACGGAAGTTAGTGGACTAAAACTGCAATTTTCCCAACAAAAACAGAAGTCGACACAACCGACCCAACACATGCAAGAGACATCGTTAGCGACCGATCAGTTTACAGCCAAGGGCAGAAAAAGCCGACAAGATTAAAATCCGACCCATCACGACTTTACCTTAGCATACATATTCGTAAAAACCGATGATCCTCCGCAAACTGAACAACTGTATTATACACACAAACCTTTCCAAAAAAAATCCCGCAGCTAACTAAATGCTAACAAAGCTCACCGTCGATTCACAGGCGGAGGCCCATAATACCCGCCGTTCGTGCCAGGTGGCAATAACTCGGCTGAGCCAACTGAACGGCCGGAAAACCAGGCGGGGGAGGAAGAAAAGGCTGGACGAGTGGAGACAGGCCCGCGACCCCTTGAAAACGGGCCGGGTCGGGCTGTTCAGGCTTGCCAAGGCTTAACTGAGTTGCGGGCTTCTCCAACTTGGGCCTTTTGAGGGGCCCGTTCATTAGTGACTGGATATCTTTTCAGTTTCTTTTTCCTTATTTAAAAGAGAAAGTGTTTGATTGGATATAAGATGGAAACATAATGACGAAACTTGATCGATACACGTATTTAATAGTGACTGGATGTCAGTGGTGAGATTGAAAATGTGCAAGTGAACCTTGGAATTTGTAAGATCTATAATAATGAGTAAAGATTTGACGTCCGTTTTTTTTTTTTTTAATATAAAAATGCTAGCAAGTAGGTGTGGTTTGTGGGAGAAAAGCAAGCAAATTAACAACATAAACAAAAATTTTCACGAACAGCCACGAGCTGAGATCCTTGAGATATGAAATACTCTCCAGAGTAACGGAAAATGATTTCTTATACATATCCTATCAAGGCCTAACACTTCTCTTTGTTATTCAAGAACAAAAAAACAGAAAACATGTATCCAACAAGAGCATCATCATTGTTATCATCATAAAAGTTCTAGAAGAAACTAGATCAAACCGAACCTGGAGGAGAAACGTTAACATCGTTCTCTATATCACACAGGTATAAAGCAGCATCTTGGCAATTTTTTAAGGTTTCTTCTTCATTGACAGTTTCTTCAAGTACCAGCTGAAAAGCAGTTAGGATTTTCTCTGGCAAACCTCCAACAGCCAATTTGTACGGGGAAAAAAATAAAATTAGAAAAAGAAGATAAACCTATTAATTGATAACTTCATGACAATGAACGGAACCCATATTATGGCCCAAATGAGTGGGGTCCTTACAATCCTCAATGAGTTAGCATCTCTCTTAAGAATCTTGATGGGATTCAAATTCTTTTCAACATTGACCGGAGAGGGATTCTTGCCCGGAGAAGGTTTCTTGCGTGGAGAAGATTTCTTGCTCTGAAATTCAATTTTCAGTTTTTCACCCCTTGACCCAAAAACTTTTTTTTCTGTCCAGATGTCAGACCTGATGCCAATGTAGTTCGAGTAAACAAATAAACCTTTACATAAAAAACCATTCATAAATTATATACAGCACACACATATTGGATATAGGCCCTCCACTAAGCAGGTCATTCTTCTAGCAAATATTTTGATCCTCTAATTAGCAAATTTCCTTCACTTTTCAGTTTGTTATACTTCAACTAGTTTCTTCGCAGAGAAGCTAAAATATATTGAATTTTTTAAAAAGATAAAATTTGTAGCACCAAAAATTGCAGAGGAAAACTAAATGTCAATTCTTGCAAGCTCAAGTTGAAAAGAAAAATGAAGTTCAGAAATTTTCCAATATATTCTAGAAAAGAGAGAAAGTGATTAAAAAAAGGACTGAAATCTTCACAACAATAAAAAAGGATAAAGTTGGAGCTGACAAGGATCTAAAGTATTAATCTCATCAAAAGTTCAAAGCAGTAAAACAGAAGGCATGGGAAAGGTAAAAAATTACCAGCCTGGACACTACTTTTTTGCAATTCTCCTCCCTACCATCACAAACACCTTTCAGCACCTTCGGAAGAACCTTCCAGAATTCATTCACAAACTCGCTGCCTTTACGCCTGCTATTTTGCAGTATATCATTGGCCAGATATAGAAAGGAAACTCTTCTCTCTTTAGGTACAGATTTAAACAGTGCCTGCCATGTCTCCACAACTTGCTTTGCTTTTTCACGGTGAGAAATGCACCAACAGACAATGCTGATCAAATGTTAAAGAAACTGCGAGAAAACTCACTTTTCTGGCTATATGCATACAAGACCAGAAAAGTTCAGACACTTAGACCAGAAAAGTTCAGACACTTTGAAATAGTATATTAACCATATGCATATAAACACTAGCTCCATTATAAGCTTAAAGAGAGAAATATCATAGAATTTGTCACAGTAAAAAAAAAAAAAAAATCGAGGAAAAGAAATAATGCGGCCCAACATGAGCACATTCATCAACTGTTATGCCAAACACGGTACTATCTATACGTGGAAAGGATACACTCTATACTTTGTTGAGAACTATTGAGTTTGGTCAGCTTTTCAGTCAATGAGGTCTCACTGAAAGAATCCTCAGCACCCATTTGCAATGTTTGAACTTTGAAGGGTTATTATTTATACCTAGGATTGCCTGCAAGAGTAGCACTAGAAAGTGCCAGAGAAGGGAAAGAAAACAAAAGCGCAAAATCTGGAGGGTGGGGTCGAGGGTATACATTTATCACGATAAAATAATGTAAAAGATATTAGTGATAAGAAGATAAAAGAAAAAAAGGGCAATGCACCTGGAGCCACATATAGGAAACAATTTTTCAGCACCAGAAATTTATTAAAACAAGAACTAATTAGTAAAATCAAATGCGCTTTTTCTACTTCCTCCTTAATGTTTTCCAATTCTTCTATGGAACTTTAAACATCTAGCTATTATATCATGTTTCCACCAACACTACCCCAACAAAAAAGTGGAAAAAAAAAAAAGCAACAAAAAGAACACTTTACATTTTGATACAACTTGTGGCCACTTGTATAATAGTTCCCCCACCACTTCTCTGTATAAGAAAATTGTTTTCAGCCGCTGATGGAGTAGAGCTAATCAGCACAAACTGGCTTTTCAAACATAAATACCTACAGAATCATATATCCATGGTTTCCTCTCAGCTCACTGATTGCTTATAACCGTTGAATATATATAAACGCTACCAAAAAATGCACAATTACAAGTACTCATTAGTTACTCAATGTAAGTCTTTACCTTGAATTTAATGTTCACAAGCCAGTCTCAAGAGAAGCCTGCCAAGAGACACGATTACAAGACTATAATCTAAAACCCAGCTAAAAGCAAGACCAAAAAATCTAAACTTGCTCAAAAGATGTATTTTTTATCTCTTGCAACTTAGACTACACAATGAAACCTTACCACCTTCTTCTTCAAACACCTCCATCTGAAAAACCCTGAAGAAACCCATGAAAATAATTAAACGGGTACCGCAAAAAGAGTAAAAAACCCAAAGAAAAACCAAACGACATACACGAAACACAATAATCCGGACAAAGAAAAACAAGAAAAAAAAAATAGTTCGCTTGTAGATATACGAACATACAATAGATATACGCGCGTCGCAGGCGAAAGCTGTATACGAAGAACTGAGTAAAGAGCCAACGGGGGAGCGATGTACTCTGTTGAAAATAGNTCGAGTGATAAAAAAATTACAGATTTTATGGATAAAATTGGGAAAGAAAGTAAAATGAAAGGAGTACAAATAAATTTACAATTCGCCCCCCCAAGACACCGAAATGTCAACATGTGTCATTTGGCAAGTGATCCCTTCATAAATTATTATTATCTTCTGCTCTTTTTCAACCAGTGTCATTATTTTGACACTTCATAAAATTCCTTTTCTCTTCAGTTTTGGCATTTTTAATGAAAAATGATATCTTATTTATTTGACTAATATTTCAGAGGAACTAAGCCAATTAATAATTGTTCTATGCAAATGAATCTTTTACTTCTTTAAAATATAATGTTCAGAAAACTTGTTTATTCATAAATTCATTCTTAAGATACACTGAACTTTTAGAGAATTCACTTTTTCATAAATCTATTCTTAGTTTGACCCACAATTTCTCTTTGAGCAATGACAATCAACAAGTTGTTTGATAGCAATCTCTACTAATTGCATGGCAATGACAATCAGGTAGCTAATCACCTGCATTACCCATTAAGAATAAATTATCATCAGCTAAAACAACTCCTCAATGCTTAATCCACATCCCATCACCAAACAAAAATATCAATATAATCAGAAGGGAGGGCCCCACCAGGGTGTCAATGATCTGATACTCCTTAATCGGGAGGGAGTGGAGGTAGATCTGCTCGAGGGATTTGATTCTCCCGGCCTGGACCAGAAGGCCGAGCTTCGTCACAGGCACCCACTTCTGCTCATCGTTGTCACGGCGGGCGCGGCGGGGGCCAGGGACGTAGCCAGAAAAATAAAATACCCTGGGCTGATCGATTATAAAAATAATTTAAGACACGTGGTAAAATTTGGAAAGGAAAAATAAAAAATAAATTTTAATTAAAAAACTCGTATAAAATGATTCATGTTCATTACAACTATTCAAAAAAAAAATTACCTATTTAAGATGCGCCCTCCGATTCTTTATATTATAAAACTCATCAATTATCGAATCTGTGTCGATTTTCGAAGTAAACTCTCGTTCAATGTAGACAATCATAGAATTCGTCAAGAAGTCTTCTTCCATCTTATTTTGAAGAGGAGTTTTGAGAAGTTTCATAGCTGAAAATGATCGTTCGGCTGTTGCAGTAGAAACGGGAAGCGCCAAAATGAGGCGAATCAGTCTGTCAATTAAATGGTAATGTCTTGCCTTCTCCGTCTCTACTAACCGTCGACATAAATCAAAAATTGTAGAAATATTTTGGAACTTCTCATGTTGGACAACATCAACCTTATAATGCTTTAACTGACTCCTCAAATAAAGTAGCTCTTGCCCACTAAAATCATTAAGATAGAATTTCTCGGCAAGAATATAAATATCATCGGCATTGAACAACTTAAAGTTATCTCGAGAATCCAATGCAAAGCTGAGCCGGAGAAGTTCTACAGCTCCATCATTAAATCTGCTACGAAGCTCTTCCAATTGAAAATCCATCGTCGCATTGAATACATCATAGTGATAATGATGTTCAACTGTTGTGGGAAACTTCTGTTGGTAAAAAAGTCCTCTAGAAGAGCGATGACAAGCACTCATATCCGGTATCTCAATGTCATTTTCTTCACAAAATGTTTTCACGTATTTAAGAAGAGTATCGAAGCCATCTTCTCTAAGAGTACAAAGCAAAGATTTTGTAGTTGACACACAATCCATTGCGCTTAAAATATCCAAGGATTTCTCTTGCAAAGATTGACAAAGCAAATCTGTGATCGCCATAATCTTGTGCATCAACAATAAGATGAATACGAAATCAAATGATCTCATCGCAATTAAAGCACCAGTAGCTTCCCCACGTATAGAATTAGAAGATGCTTCCTCCGTCATATGCTCAAGCACGATAATCACAGAACGATACATATCTATCATACTGCAAATGGACTCAAAATGGGAACTCCAACGTGTTTTTCCAGCTAGTTGCAAAGTTGTAGTTTGGTTAAGTCCTTTACCTATTTCACATAAAACAAATAAAAAAGTTAGATAAAAATTCAATGTAATCACAAATTAATGGTGATTAAAAAATAAAATAAGAAAGCAATTGTACCCGTGTCACGAATACCGAGGGCTACCATATTTGCAACTTCAATAGCTTGAGCGGATTGTAAATCACTATGACGTTTTGGCGATGCCTTAATGAGATTACAAATTGACGTCAATTTTGAAAAAAAAAATAGCCAAATAGAGCTCTCTTTTTCAGCCGATGCCACTAATGCCAACTGAAGTCTATGTGCGAAACAATGTACATAATATGCTTGTGGAGAGTCCCTTATGAAAAGAGCTTGTAAACCATTCCATGATCCACACATATTGCTAGCTCCATCATATCCTTGACCTCGAATATCTTTGAGATGTAACTCATATCGACCAAGCACATTAGATACCTCAATCTTAAGTGTCAAGGCAGTGGTATTAGGTACATGCACAATATGAAAGAATCGCTCTTTTAAGAAACCTTCACGATCAACAAACCTTAAGACAATAGCCATTTGTTGTTTGTCTGTTATGTCTTTAGCTTCATCAACTAAGAGACAAAACTTCAAACTTCCAATTTCTTCACGAATCTTTCTCCTCACTCTCTCACCGAAAATATGCAAAATATCTTTTTGAATATCCGGTGATGTATACTTTGCATTTCGCGGCGCATTTTCTAAACCAACATTTTTAACATTGACATCCATTTTGCCCATAAGCTTTATAAGCTCAATAAGATTACCTTGATTCTTTGAAGATGATGATTCATCATGTCCTCTCAATGTACATCCTTGCAAACAAAGCCAACGGATGCTTTCGATTGTAGCGGTAAGTCTCAAACGATTATTTTTCACTTCCTATGATGTATGTGCATTCATCACTTTATCGATGTGACTACTTGCATTCATTAGAAGGCCCATGAATTGCAGAGCATTATTATGTGGTGACGTAGGGCTTCCGACATGACCCAAAAATACGCATCTTTTGCCATCGTTAACTCTTTTCCAACTATTAAAACCACCAATTGTAATAGCATGATAACTGGCCTCTTTTTCTAGAAAAATGAAACAAGGAAAACAAAACGCCGCATCTTCCTTTGGAGAATACTCTATCCACGGAAATTTCTCGTACCAACGTTTTTGAAAGCTTCGGTATTGATCTCCGATTTGCCTTTGCGGAAACTCCATAATAGGTTGATATGGTCTCCTCAAGATATAAGACCAACTAATTGCATCTCATTCATTTATCGGACATTGTCATATTGGAATACACGTAGCCGGATCAAGTAAAACATAGTCGCTAACATCAATATCCACCCTTTGATACTTAGTCGTATGTTGATTTTCGAACTCATTTTGGGTTGATGTTTCCGCACTAAAGTGCGAAGAATCCTTCGTAGTCGATTTGGGCTTGAAAAATGAGAGCATAGTTTTCTTCTTCTTTATATGGGCATCCATTTGAAAAATCAACCTAAAACATCATCAAATGGACCACAAATTAAAACAAAACAAAATGAGCAAAAAATGTAAAAACGTAGTGCCGCCCAAAATTATTAGTAATCTATAATTATTAAGTCAGTGACCTCAGCTCCTTAGTATCTTTTGACATCATCCCATCTAACTTGTTCTCTGACATCCTTAATAAAACCAAAAACTACTCTGTCTAAAGATTATAGTGACAGTATCAATGTATCATACCACCCTAAAGAACTGACCAAAACCAATTTGAGGAAAAAGCTCAAAATCAAAACTTTGTTTGAAGAATACATGCCCAAACTTCACATTACTCGGATAAAACAGTCTCCCCTCAGTCTTGACATCAGTCGGAGAAAATAAAAAAACTTGCCAATAAAAATTACACAGCTCTGAGACTCACACAGCAAAAA